TCGATTCGATTACGAATTTTTGATGGATTGGATAATGGATCCGTTTCGTCGATTATAGTCGGAGATACTGATTTTTTTTCTTCCGAATATTACAATTAAAATACCAATATTATATATGTACTTTATATTTAAGGTGAGCAAAATAGGAAAACTCCTAATTCCGCCGATTCTGATCCAAAATTTTCCGATTTTGGTACAAGTTTTTTTGTTCCAATTTCTGAAATTTTGATTTCCGATTTTTTTGGAACGTAATTGGAACTAGTTTTTCACTTCGGAAAATAGTCGTAATTTTTCCGAAAGGGCTAATTCCAATCCAATCCGTCCGATTTACACGCCTAATTTTTTTCCTCTCTGTAGTGACAAAAAATGGCGAAAACCGAATCTCAAATTCGATTAAGGACGTAAAAAACTTTAAAATTTACGATGACAAGATTATAGTATTTTGTTTATCATATTTCATATCGAATACTTGTTTTTTTTTCTTTCGATTTTGTTTGATTGTTTTTTCGGAATTACTTATAACACAGTGGTGAAACCTTTGTTTTAATTTCTACTTCAACCAGTGACTGCCTCACTAAGTATGACATGCCGTCGTTATTCCCTCACGCCAAAGGCATATTGTGTGCTCTCAAGGATAAAGGTGTCGACATCGCTATTGCCTCGAGATCGCCGACTCTCGATGTTGCCGAATCTTTCCTCGAGAAATTGGGGATCAAATCGATGTTTGTCGCTCAGGTTAGCTAACCGTATTCGCCTAATCTATTTCTTATGCATTTGAATTGAACGATTTGGATTTGAGGGAATGATTTCAAATGGCTCGATATTAGTAAGAAGTTTGTTCTTTGGACAATTTGGGTATATGCACGTTTGCCTTCCGTTGAAAATTGTCGTGGTTTGTGTGAATAATAGCATCAAATTATAGTCGTCAACCGCCTTTGGTTCTAGCTAAGGATAGAAATCGAAAGGATCGAATCAGAATTAGCACTTTCAGAAGAAAAAAAATGATTCTTTTTCGGAAGTGAAAAACTCAATCCAATTTCGCTCCCCCCAAAAATCGGAAATCAGAATTTCAAAGATTTGAACGAAAAATCTTGTTCCAAATTTGAAAATTTACTGATCTAAATCGGCGGAATTCAAAAATTTCCAATTTTCAGTCACCTAAAATATAACATACATAATAATATTTTGATATTATAAGTGTAATATCCAGGAAAAGAATCGGAATTTTTAATTATTTTCGGAAACTAAAATTGGATCGATAATCGGAATTTCATATACATTCCAATTCCGATCCAAAAAGATTCAGAAAAATCGAACATCGGAATGTGGAACGAAAATATTGTTCCAAAATTGAAAATTTTCGGATCGGATTCAGCGAAAATCAGCAAGAGAGGCATTCAAAGAAACCTTCACCCTCGATTTTTTGTTCTCCATATATATATGATATCTTTCTGTACAGAAGCTTCTTAGATATCGATTGAGAAAAAAAAATCGTGTTTAATATTTTTCGAAACATTTTTTTCAGGAGATATTTGCGAGCTGGACACACAAGACGGATCATTTTCAGAAAATAAATAATACGACTGGTGTTCCGTACAATGAAATGCTCTTTTTCGACGACGAAGATCGTAATATTGTAACAGTAAGATCTCCTCTCGTGTTTGTTATATACTTATACTGTATTAATATTGTCGATTTTTTAATTTATTTTTATATATAGGTTTCGAAAATGGGTGTTACAAGCATATTGGTGGACAACGGTGTGAATTTAGTCGCTTTGAGACGAGGCCTCTCCGAGTATTCGCAAAACCGGTCTTCATCGGAAAGGAACAAACAAAGATGGTTTAATTTTTAGCAATAATTTCTCCATCCATTTTTATAAGTGAAGTACCATTCACTTATATTCAATTTATGTTGATTGATTGATGTTATCGTTTCCGAATCCCGAATCAAATGCTATTATGCTATTTAACTCTTACGATTGATTTTTCCCGGCTTTTCGTGTAACACGTTGTATCCATCATTTGAATCTTACTATATGTTACACCCGATGAAGTGTACACTGCACGTAAATATTAATTTTGTATATGTATTTGTGTTTCATAATAATGCACTTATTCTGCATATTTCTTCGGGCTTTCTTATGGGGGTACCCGTCATATTTCACCAGTATAGTAATTTGTTGTGAACGTACTTAAATAGTTAAATGTTATGCGGTACGGAAACTTTAACTTCTTAACGTATCTGCATTTCAAATACGTTTCGTGTAGGACGGCCGGGGACGCCTGTCGGACACCTTATAGGTCATTTGCAATGTCTGCAAAGTTAAAAACATGCTTTAATAGCAAATTTTCAAATATTTTTATTGCTTACCTACTTATTTACATGATGTAATGATGAATTGCAAATTGATAGTTGATACTAATATTTATTTTGAATATATTGTACGGAAGTATATATAAATAAAATCTTATAAATGTTTATGTAACATATTTATAAATATACCCCTATATTTTTTTATAATTATGCGTTCCCCTTAAGTTCCAGTATCCCCATTTTTCGAACATGCCGTCGTTTACGTGTCCGTTAAATGATGAAATACAACTATAGTACTATTATTGAGATGTAAGCCTAGCAACTATACCAATACTTTTATTTATTTATTTAGAAAAACTACTAATAAATAAAAGTTCATTCATAATTCATGCTAAAATACAAAATACAAAGTACAAGGAATAATTAAAAAAAAAAAAGCAATGTGCATGTACAATAATTCCATTATCGTTAAAAAGCTTGCAATAATTGAATATTAAACGTAAAAGCATCAATTAATTAATAAAAAAATTAAACTTTATTAATGGGATTGGTTTTTTTTAAGGAATGCTGACGTGGATCTGGTAACAAATACCAAATGGGAATCCTATATAAATAATATTTTCGTATCATCTTCCTCAAATTAAAAATTCACATTCGATCACTTCTCCACCGAACACAGGAAGAGAGAAAAATGGAGGAGAAGCAAAAAGACGAAATTGCCCCAGAAAATGGAAAACCAGAAGAAGAAGATACCCCCAAAGATGCTTCCATTTGTGGGTTTGATTCTCTTCACAAACTCCTCCAATCCACACTGCCCCCACAGCTTTTCCAGGTCACCTTTTTATTATCTTCATTTTTTTTGGATAATTACAACTACCTCCCTGAGGTAAAGTTAAATTACGAAAAAATCCCCCAAATTATGGGTAATTACAACCACCCCTCAATTATTAATCTTCTTACATAGCCATCCTTGTGGTGTCAGATGTACTGGAATCTTCTAGATTACGTGGATTATTCTCCAGTACTTTGTACCCATTTTACCTCATTCGAACGCCACATTTTGAAACAAGATGATTATAAGATGTGTCTCTTTGCTTGTAAATATCAGATTGTGCTACATCATAAACTGCATTTTTGTTCAAAACCAGTAGAACATTCCACGGAATCTAGAATATTCTGTTAAATTTGACACCATAAGGGTGAACGTGTAAGAAGATTCATAGTTAAGGAGGTGATTGTAATTACCCAAATATGAGGGGTCTTTTAGTAATTTGACATTATTTCAGGGGTTGGCCGTAATTTACACTTTATACTATCATCTGCTCTCTTTTGTGCACCGTATAAGTTGGATTGTGATTTTTGTACCATTTTTTGTTGCAGGAAGTAAGCCGATTACTTATCGGCCTAAACTGTGGACGAGCACTCGATACCATCACCATTGCCGAACCCGCAAAATCTCTTTCTTCAAAACACGATTTCGATCTTCAGGTAAATAAAGATTAGCATCTTCTCTTACCATTACATACAAGCTTATTATTACCTTTCAATTTTCATTCGATTCGATCGGTTTCTTGATTGTTACGAGTTACGTTGCTAGTAACTAATGAAAAGTTATATAACAAAAATCTACTCCACCCGATTCATAATATTTGTGTCGTTTAAGGTTTTTACACATATGTTGTTGAATTTTAGGAAAGATGTGTAGAAAGGACTAAAATAACCTTTAGTTCATGATCAACAAAGCTGGATTAATAAGGGTAAAACAGGAAGAAATGCATTTAATGCATTATCGAAACTCTAAAAACGACAGATAATAAATATTGAGGCTTAAATTTTTATTTATACTACACCGATTATTTTCAGGCCTTTCAACTAGGCTAGCAAAGCATCTGAATATGAATGTTTTTGCTCATGCGTTTTCCCATGCAGGCGTTTTCATTTCATGCCGAAAAGGAATCGCTAAGACAACCTCGTATTGTGAGGGTCGGTCTCATTCAGAACTCAATTGCTCTTCCGACAACAGCCCCGTTTTCGGACCAAAAAACGGCCATTTTTCACAAATTAAAACCGATAATCGAAGCTGCAGGAGCTTCAAGAGTCAATATACTATGTTTACAGGTATTTAATTCGTCTATATCGTATAGGAATGAATATTTTTATATTTTATTTCAAAAATAAAATAAATAAATTGTTTTATATGCAGGAGGCGTGGACGATGCCATTTGCATTTTGCACACGCGAGAAGAAATGGTGCGAATTTGCTGAGCCGATCGATGGAGAATCAACGCAGTTTCTTCAAGAATTTGCACGGAAATACAATATGGTTATAATAAGTCCTATTCTCGAACGGGATTTGAAACATGGCGAGATTCTTTGGAACACTGCTGTAATAATCGGAAATCACGGTAATATAATCGGAAAGCACAGAAAGGTAATGTAATTATGTAAAGATAGCTTAAGTTTGATTTTTTTTTTCCGAGTATTTACGGATGCGTTTTATTGCCTTTAGTACCCCCTGTATTATATCGAATTGTTAAAAAAATCCACTGTTAAAAATATTTGCCAGAATCCCCTATAATATATTTTTGTTAGCAGACACCCCCCTAAAAGTTAGTATTAAAGGGATTGTCTGCGAAAAAAAATTAATCATAGGGGAGTTTTTTAACAAT